AGTCGGCACCAATCACAATTCTTAGCATGTCAGCTTGTAATTAGTTAGGATATGTAGTCCGTTAATATTGGGTACATCCGGCGTATTTTGTATCGAGCTCATTTAAGTATACGAATAAATTTTTAATACGCTCAGCATACCGTACATCAAGTTCATCCAAATATACTAATAAATATTGAATGCGCCTAATGTACCGTACATCGAGTCCATCTAAATAATACATGTCATGCGATACCTTCTCCTCTCATACATGAGTCTCATGAGGTCTTGAAATAAGTACTATTTTAGATTAAAGTCCTTCCTTTGTGTGATTTCCCCTTGATTTTCTAATAAATTATCTTACTTACCAAAAAAAAAAATACCTTTATTAAAAATGTGTGTAATATCATAGTGACGTCGTTTTATACTTCAAGTTTCACCGGTTTTAGTAGTGAAATTTCACTATTGTGGTGGTTAAAATTTACCAACGTGATGGTGAAATTTCAAAATATGAAAATATGGTCAAGTTTTTTAAAGCAGAAAAAATTGTATGTCCTAATTTAATTAGTTTTTTTTTTTTATAAAAAAATTCTTTTAAAATAAATATACATTTAATGTATTTTCTCTCGTCAAAAATTTCAACTTAATATGCAGTTAATGGAAAATGTGTTTATATATATGGTGCTCCCAATTTTCACGAACACTTCGGTTTTTTTTTTTTTTTTTTTTTCAAAAGTTAATTTTTATGAAGAGTATTTTTTTTTAGTTAATTCAAAGTGTGAGACAAAAACCTTTAAAATCTTTCAATAACTCGACTAAATTTTAAATACTTAGAAGTACGTCTTCCCAACCAAACCGAACAAGAAACAACAAAAACTAACCACAAAACGTACCCAACAAAACTCAAACTCGAGACCTGAACTTACTTAAGCTCTACAAACTGCTTTGATTGATTCCAAGTGTGGCAAAATATTGATTGGGATAGAGTACCGAGGCTGGAGGGTAGGGTGCAAGGGCAGGAGGAGGTATCAGAAAATGATACCTATAGACCCTACAGTCTTTCTGAGGTATGGACCAAGATATATATATATATGTATATATATGTATATATATAGGGTCAGTATATATATATATATATATATATATGTATATATACATGAATGTTATGGAATACCAAGAACAGTGTAAATGATATCTCACTTCCCAAGGTGGGGGACCTTCCAACTGACAGACCTCGTCTTTGCCCCCGGAATATTCTCCGGCCCACCTTCCCGGAGACATTATTCCCCAGCTGTAGTAGTAGTCCCTAACAATTTATACCCACCTCCCATCTTAGGAGCGTGCATGTAAATCAGTCCTAAAATGCCTGAATGCATGTTTCAACTCCCAACTGTGTCCAACACTAACTACTCCGTCTTATATTAAATGGTTTTTTATGGGGAATAAATTTTTTTAAGAAAACATGTAATTATTACATTATTTTTATTTTAAATTATAAATTATCCTTTTAAGTTTAAATATATATATAATCAAGTTTGAAATTTTTTAAAATTTTAAAAATATTTTATGGAAAGATGTGAAATATGTTGTTTAAATTTGGTAAGTGGACAAGTATTCTGATAACTCAAAAAGTAAAGATGAATAATTATTATGGGACAGAGGGAGTATATCAAAAAATTAATAAAAAAATAAAATAAGAAATCTAATTAATAAAAACTAGTGAATCTAAAAAATCAGCACAATTCGAGTTTCAACCTCCAACAAAAACAAAAATTTTAAAATATTCTGCAATTTTCTAAAAACGTGATTTTAGCGTCCTATATCATGATATTTTTGAATTAGTCCATTTGAGTTCAAGTAACATTGTAGGTCTGTTACTTGTCAAATAAAAATAATAATAATAATAAATATGTAAAATTCTCTCGTTCAATAACTTCAACCAGTTTTACCGAAAAATATATAAATGGCCGGAATTTTTTTTTTTTTTTTTTAAGCTCATTCGGTGTGTATGTCAGATTGATGGATTAGTCGAAAGGTCTTGATTAAGCAATATTTTAGTATCAATTTTTAATGATAATGATCATATCAATCACACTCGAATGCACTTAATTCATATCCAACACCTCTTTTCAAGTTCAGCTTGAATTGAGGTTAAGTTAATTCATGGAAGTTTTATATTCAAATTCATCCTTAAAATAAAAATGGGTGTGAAAATCTGTTTAAATATTGAATTGGACTGTGATTGAATTGAAATAGGTATAACCAAATTTTATCCTTCTAAACCTAGCATGTTGCACCGTCCAACCATTTATATTAATATAGTTTGCCAACTTGCTTCCGCAGGCCACCATTCTACTCAAGTTGGGCACTTGGGGCAGACCCGAAGTTAGACCTTTCCGTATTCAATGTATGTATATATACATACATATATATACACTGTTGTAATAATTACCAATGGAGATTATCATAATGTTTTGCCACTACAAAAATTCTTTGCAAGCAACTTGTTAGAGAGCTTGTGAGAGGGACGTTGAATTTCATATATTTTTGTTATTGGATGGTGACGATGATCCAGTGATATTGAGTTTTTTTACTAGTATTACATTACGGAACATTTCAAATGGTTGTTTCTGACCCAAGATAACATTCTTTTTATTCTTTTTAAACACAAAAATCAAAGTTAAAATAAATCTCATAAATTTTTATGCATACAGAAATAACAAATTTGTTGCTTAAAATTAAAAAAAAAAAAAAAAAGAAGCAAATTTCCAATGTTAGATTGGAGAAAACAAATACAACTACCTGTCTCCAATTGATGTTAGCAGGGAATATAGAAACTTATTTTGTTAATCTGTGTAGTTTGTGATTTTATCTTTGCAAAAAAGAAGAATAACCCACAAGTACAACTGCAATGAAACTTAGAATTGCATCTCGAGTAGGAGTGCAAGAAAAAGACGCAGAACTAATTATAAAAATAAAAGAAATTAAACTTGCAAGAGTGGCCCACTAATTAAGGAACATCATATCAGATGAGCGAGCAGTAAATTTGAACATTTTGAATTTGACTCTCGTTACTTCACAAGGCACAAAAACACAAAGTTTGAATTATATGTATAGTGTATACGTAATTACACATATTCGAGGTTTACCTTACAAGTCCAAAGAGAGAATTGCTAAAAGGATTCTTTATTTCAAAAAAATTAAAAAAAAAATAAATAACAATAAAATAAAAGAAACAAAAATAAAGGGATAATATAAAATTTACTTCATGTAACTAGGGAAGGAAAAAACCGGCCCTGAATATTTTAACTCACTACAAACAATTTGAACCCCATACTTTTGTGGTAAAATATTTACTATTTAATCTTTTTGTAAAACAAAATAGATGAAACCAAAAAATTTCTAGAATATATAAATAAACAGAAACTAATATTTTATTACAAGGGATTCCATAGCCCAAGAACTCCACCACAATCGGCCCCACTCATTCCAATTGCACTTTTTATATACGAGTAAATTCTGTCATCATGATTCATTAATGCATTAATTAGGGGAGAATATATGAAATTTTGCAAAGAGGTATACCTTATTTAATTTAATTTAATTTAAGAAATTCTTCACTTTATTTTGGTTTAATAACTCATTTATTTCTTAAACAAATTATTCTGTTTATTAAGTTATTAAACAAATGACTTAATTCTAATAAAACAATATAATTTGAGATGATTTACCGATGCAATTCGACAGTCCCATTAAAGTGCAGGGATCCAGCTGATCTTGTTTGAACAATATTTGTTTTTCAATCTCTGTGGTCCACATACTTTTGCCTTTTTCTCTTTTTACTACAATTTGCCACAACAATTGAATCACAAATATTATATACCAATATACACCCACAAACGTATACATGATATACACACACAGACACGTAAAGATAATTAACTCCTCAAGCTAATGGAAGGCACTTGTGTATAATATTTATAAAGACAAAGTGCAAAAAAAAAAAAAAAAAAAAAAAAAAAAAAAAAAAAATTCCTTGCTATATAAAAATATGTGTAAGAAAGTCATTAGCATGTTTGTATAAATCTCTATAATTTAAAATTTTGTAGCGAATTGTTCCCTTAGTTATCAATTTTATTTATTATTTATTATTTTTTGTAAAAACCCAAAAAATACTCTTAATAAATTTTGTACATGTAAGAGCTTTTATTATTATTTTTTATTATTTTACTTTAAGGACATTTTATATATTTCAATCTTCAAATTGAAAGAATGTCCTTATTTGATTAATTTTAAAATGTAAGAATTTTTTATTTAACGCTGGAAGAATTTTTACACATTCTGTATTTTTTGTAATTTACCTACATGATTAAATGGCTGATTGTAAAGTAAGTACTCTGGCACATAATATGTGCAATTAATCATTTATGAGCTAAATGGGTGGATTAAGTTGAAGGATGATGCTAATGGGGAACTTTAATTTTATGGTTAATTGATTTTTGACATGTGCCATAAATATATATATATAAAAAATAATATTCTAGAGAATTTTAAATTCTAAACTTCTACTTTGTAAAGTAAAAAAATACTTTAGGTCAATTTTTGTTACCAACTTATATGAAAATTATTGAGATAAAAATTGTAAGACAAACACCATATTATGCGACTAAATATAATCAATTTTAAATTTATTGTTTTAATTTTTTTTTTTTTTAAATGAGCAATACAAATTGTATATGGTGCATTACTTCAGGTTTTTTCTCTGTTAGTTAATGTTATAATGTCGTCAATTATAATCACTTCTTTTATAAATTGACCTTATTTAAATGGTGTGTATATATATATATATATATTATGCAGAAAATGGAAATGATGTTAATAAAAATAATAATCGTTGTAATAAAAGTGAGTAAAGAACAAAAACAAGAAGTATTAGAATTAGGTCTGCATAAATGCACATATGAATACCAAAGATCTCTGTTCCCTTCCAACTCGGAAGCATTTCTTGTTTGGTGGTGCAAAGACAAAAGCTTTCTCTCTCCAACTATATATATATATTCTGTATCTATATATTAAAACCACTTTAAATCCCCTCTATTCTCTTTCACCTGACCACTTTATATTGCTATATGTTCCTGTTTCCTTACAAATATTGTTCTACTATTAAAACTGCTTTTGGGTCCTTCCTTTACTGTACCTAAGATTAAGAAGAGCTCTGAACCGTTCATTCTTTTTGGAACCAAAACAACTACTACTACTACTTTTCTGTTTTGATCACTGAAGCTTCTTTAACTTAAGCCAAACCAAACCCACTTTTGGTTCCACTTCAAACCAACTCTGTGTGTTGTTTATCTTCAAATCAAACACTTTTTCCAACTACCTTCACTTCACTCGAATCAGTGAAACTTGTCCCGATCGTGATTTCTCAGCAGCTCGATCTTAAAGCCCACAAATTTTGTTTTCAGAAAGCGTTTTTGGGTTGACTTGTACTCGATTTGATTTTTGTATATGAGAAGACAAGAGGGCATTCTTCTTCCATTTGATTTGTAAAATGTGTAGCCAACAGGGCGATCCCATGATTAAAAACAAGCTTAAGAGACTCTGTTGCAATTACGGGTGGTCTTATGGTGTCTTTTGGAGATTTAATCAGCGAAATTCCTTGTAAGCTTTGCTTCACTCTCTCTCTCTCACACACAGAATTATGTTCCAATACATGATTTTTCGTCTTCTGGTATGGTTTGATGAGGTTTTATTATGAACATCGACTTTAAATGGCTTGTTTGTTTTGTTGCGTCACATAGATGCTTATAACAACTAAGAACTGATACATATATACATAAGCACACACAGTGTCTTCTATTGATCTTTGTATGTTACCAATACTAATGCTTAATCTCATTGGTTACTGTTATATTTACTAGTAACATATTTTCCTATTTAATTTCCCTTTTCTTTGACCATTAAAAATTATATTTTTGGGTATTGTTTCTCTTCGTTTTTACGTTGTTTGGATGTCCAAACTAAATTAAAACCCTTCTCTCTCTCTCTCTATATATATATATTTTTTCTCTCCTGGTTCTAAGGGTTGCCTGGATTCCACAAGTGGATTTAGTGTAAAAGGAGAAAAGCATTTTTTTTGGTTTTCTTCAGTTCTTTTAGAATGAAATCTATGCAGATTCGCTAATTAGTGTGGTTAAATTATCAAATTCTGCCAATTAAATGCATCTGTACTCTAAGATTACAGGTTTGATTAGTATAGATTATTAGATTCTGTGTGAAACCAAGTTTCTCCGAAGTTCAGTACTACTATTTTTGCCTTTTTATAGAATGAAGTGTTCTAATTGTCTCGAGCTTCGCATTGTAGATGTTGCATTAGCCTATGAAATTTTCATATATATATATATATATTCGTTATTCCTGCTCATTCTTAACGGTTCCATGAAATGTTATGCACACAGATTGTTGACAATGGAAGATGCCTACTATGAAAAACAAATGGGGGCTGCAATTGACGACATGCTTCTGCAAGTCCACATGCTGGGCGACGGGTATGCCTTCATACAGATTTTAACTATTGTAATTTCAAGCTTCTATAAAGATTTGCACTGAGAGATAGAAATTAACAGAGTAAAATCATTAGCCAGGACTTGGATGAGGCTAATCTTGTTATAATTGTCTTGTTTAGAATCATTGGCCAAGCTGCTTTCACTAAGAAGAACCGATGGATGTTCTCGGATGCTCACTGTGGAGGACAGAATCCTGTAGGTTCTAATGGGATTCAAGATGTATTCCAGGTATGTATTGTTTTTGACTGGTTTATTTTTTCAATCCAAATCTTGTTCATCAGTTTTTTTCCCCTGATGAAAATCCATTTTCTCTCATGTTTGGGAATTTTCCTCAAAAGTTCCCTTTTTCTTTTCAATTGACTGCATTTGTTAAGTTGAAATTCATCATCAATTCGTGTTGAACTGCTTAATTTGTTATATTTTGGGGAATCAGTTAGTTAAACAGGATGTGAGTTTGCTTTGGTTCACTCATTTGAGAATTGTTGTTTTCACAGGATGATTCTGAAATTCGTCGCCAATTTTGCTCTGGAATACAGGTGCCTTTTTACTCCTTTTAGTTTCATTGAGCTTGGGAAATTCTAAAAATGCTAGCTTATTTAAAACAGAGTTGACATTGAGATTTATTATGTGCCTTTGAGCTGTTTTCCCCGATAACCTTATGCATCTCTGTTTGTATTGTCCTTTTTTCAATCCCGAAGCTTTACCTATTGATGATGTAAATTTATTTTGCAGACCATTGCGGTAATCTCTGTTGAACCACGAGGTGTAGTACAGTTTGGTTCTACCCAGAAGGTTAGTACTGTGATTATATATGCAAAAATGCAGCACACAGACTTCTTTCTCATTATTAGCTTGTTCAAGTCCTTCAGTCTCATTTGTTTGTATTTTCCATTTATCCTAAGCTTACTTTGTATTTGGTAACATTCCAAGTGAGACTATTAATAATGTTGGCTTTTTGTGCATGCAAGTGCATTGCCTTGTATACATTTAAAGATCTTAATATAGAACTTGTAGTGATCTGTCCAAACTCATATTGCTAACGTTCCAAGTGAGACCGTGTGCATGCAACTGCTTTGCTCTTTATACATTGTGATTTTGTTAATATAGAACTGCAAACTCATACTCTCCCAATTCCTACTTGAGCTTATCTTCCCTTTTTCATATTTATTACAAAATTTAAAATGGGACCTATAAATCATTTCAAGAAGTTAACATCTACTGTCTACCATTACATACTTGAATTAATTCCTTTAATGGTACTGCTGCAGATGCTGGAGAGTATGGAATTTGTGGATCAAACAAAAAGACTATTCCGGGAGATGGAAAGCTGTGATGGGCTTACACTGTCAGAAAATGCACCTTCATCGTCAACCAGTGAAGTTTATAGTCCGTATGGGTTGTTTACTTCGTCGGTATCATCAGGAAATTCCAATTTTGGCAATATGAAACCCATGCATGGTATCAACTCTAATTTTTTTATGGGAACACCTTGTTCTTCTACAAATCTTTCGCAGCCAGCCCTTTTCAGTTCCAACCACATAAAGATGTCCCCCCTCATTAGGAACTCATCCCATCTTGGAAACCAATTGCAAACGGTTCACACAGATGCCCAAGTTAGATTACCTAACAAGTCTGGTACACAGTTAGGACAACCATTTTTTCAGTCGACCGCTTGCGTTAATCACTCAGCTGTCCAAACCCCTTGTATGAGTAGTGGAGATTCTATTCTAACGTCATTCGAGCAAAAACTGCCATCTGAAATGGGGGTTCAGGGTTCTCATGATATGTTTCCTGCTAAGCCAAATGGTACTGCATCCTGCAGAAATACATTTCAGATATCCCCGGACTCAACGTTCACTTCATTACACAGCACAGGAGGATTACTTGATGTAGAGAAAACATCTCAATACAGCTCAGGAGAATTGATGAACCACCAGTGTTCTGCTATGTTATTCCATGGAACCAAAAGTGGACTTGCTGAAATATCAACTAGCCCATATGCATACCAAGACTTGTTCCCGGCAAGTGATTTTATGTCAGATCTCTCTAATTCATGCCCACTGGACGATTTTTCCCAGTTGTTTGTCCCCTCAATAGAGCAGAGCAATAACACAATGGCTTCGGCACTAAACGACAACCTGTCACAAGAAGCGAGACTTGCCTCAGTTTTATCTAATTTGAACGGAGCTGATGGTCTGAGCGAAATTCCAAGCAACCATCTAGCTAGTTCTGTGCAAAGTTCCATTACAAGCACATTTACTTCTGATGGACAAGAGAAATGTTCAAATATTTCTGGTATTGAAAATGACCTGTTTGATAGTTTGGGTGTAGATTTTGGGTGCGGACAGGCAGGGGATCTTTTAGATGACATTCTAATGCCAGTAATGAGTGGTGGTCAATTGGATTTTACTGCTAGTACTTCAGGGTGCATCTCAGAGCAACATGTTGATCACAAGGTCCCCCAGAAAGGGTTATTCTCCAAATTAGGAATTGAACAGCTTTTGGTTGGTGTTCCTGGGAATTCTAATTCTGTTGCGAGATCAAGTTTTGAGGATGAACTATCCTTCACAGCTAAAAGAAGAAGAATAGGGAGCAGTGATCAAGTGCAGTTTTCAGGGCTTTCATGCTTTGGTGAGAACAAGAACTTATTGCAGCCTGTATGTAACATGGACAGGAAAAACAATTTTGAACCTAAGAAAGAGGTCATCCTGAAATCGGAGATAGAGTCATGGATTCGTGACAGCTATAGCATGAATGGTAGAAGCACTGTTGTATCACAACCTAAAAGGGAAGAACCTGCAAAGGTGACCAAGAAGAAGGCCAAACCTGGGGCTCGACCAAGGCCTAGAGACCGCCAGCAAATCCAAGACCGTATCAATGAGTTGAAAGAACTTATTCCTAATGGTGTAAAGGTACTTTCTTTTTCTTCAGTTCAGTGGAAATTAAATTGGAAAAGGATGTGTTTTGTGCCTGAGAAAAAAAAAAATTTTTAATTCAAAAACATTTCTCAAATATATTTTACTCTATCACACAGTTATACTAGATGCAGCTTTTAATGCTATATTGTTTAAACTAACTGCATCTATAACTTATGTCTTAATCTATGGATGTAACAGATGAGCATTGATTCCCTGCTAGCTCAAACCATCAAACACATGCTTTTTCTGCAAAGTGTCACAAAACATGCTGACGAACTTAAACAAGCAGATGAGCCGAAGGTAATGAGTTGGTCTCTTCGTATCTGTCACTTATATCTTGGACAGTTATTTAAAGGAAAGAATAAGATTTCATACATTGCTTGTCACATAACAACAAACTTGCTTGATTCTACAGATGATCGGCCAGGAGAATAAAGTGGTTATGAAAGTCAACTCCAGTGGTGGTGGTGGCATTACGTGGGCATATGAATTTGGTACTCAAACAATGGTGTGTCCACTGGTGGTTGAAGACCTTAGTCCCGCCGGGAAAATGCTTATAGAGGTACAGAAAGGAATTAAAAAAATAAATAAATATTATTTAAAAAAAAAAAAAATAATTATGTGCCATCCACCCTGATCATCTATTGCCTATTTCTCGTGGAGAACTTTGATTATCCATATATTTTGAACCACTTTCAATGTATGTTCTCTTTTCTTCTGCAGATGCTTTGTGAAGAACAAGGATTCTTTCTTGAGATAGTAGATATTATTAGAGGTTTTGGCTTGACGATCTTAAAGGGAGTGATGCAAGTTCGGGAAAATAAGCTATGGGCACGCTTTATTGTTGAGCCTGAGGTAAACATTGAATTTATAGATGGAAGAAAGGATTTTTTTTTTTTGATCAAGTATAGATGGAAGTAAGAAATATGACCAGATCTCTTGTTTTATTTTTCTCTTAATAAGATAAGAATCCATTTGCCTTATTTCTTCTTCTGTAACTCATCATTAATGTGTTTATTAATGTGTTTCAGGCAAGCAGGCATGTAGCGAGAGTGGAGATATTTATGGCCCTTGTTCAGCTTCTACAACCAACAGCCGCCAGTGAGATCGAAGCTAGTGATCAGCCTAGTAATGTCATCGATGGAGGGACTACTCTGTTCAACAATTATCATCAAACTGTGGTTCCACTTCCCATCAGCTTGGCCGACACACTTTGCTGATTGAGTTTATAATGGAGCTAGAAATGCCTTGAGCGTGCATTCACCTATAGGGTGCCTGCCATGATTGGTATTAGGAAATCGAACCTGAAGGCCGGGCTACAACAATAGATGAAAAATGAGGATAGGATGAGGAAAATGGAATGTCTACACTTGTTTATAGCTAGGAAATACTTCTAAAAGAAAGGCTTTTTGAGTTACTTTTGTAAAGAGTTCCCGGTGGAAATGTTGAATGAAGTATTCTACAGGAGGACACGTCCAGTGCAATAGGCAAACCCATACAATTGATGGGGTCTGTGTTTGGTGAGAATTAAGGGAACAGAAATTGAGAATAGTGGTGCTTTTATTTCTCTGTTTTTGTTTTTTCTTTGTTATTTGTTCCTCTTTAGTCTTGCCGTTGCTTGTTCATATTTCAAAGCTGATAAACTATTTAGTTATAGGCTAACTGCTAACCTCTGGTTTGCTCTTTGGTCATCCTGTTGTTTCACTAATATGCATGCTCTATGCTGTGTGTGTGTGTGTGTTGAGTAACCATTTGTTCATGATTGTCCTTCCCTTCCCTTTAATCATATAAATGAAATTTACTTAACGCATGGATTAATTGCAAATTCTCTATAACTTGAGGTGGAGCTTCCTCTATTTGTGTTTAATTGATAAAGATTCTCCCTGTAAGGTTCAATTTTTTGCCCTATATAAAGACCTAATTGAGACTTTAATAAAGGTTAGAATTAGCTTTTGATATAGTCTAATGCTACTAACTATGAATGTGATAAAAGCATTGTTGAAAAAAGGGAGAATGTGTAAAGAAGGCGGCTACTTTTGACAGTTTTGTGGCTTCCAAACTAGTGCAGCTATTGAAGGCTCCAACAAAGGGAGATGAGTGCTGCTATTCCCATTTTAGTAAATTATGCACAAACCGATTGAGACATGTTAAAAAAAGAACCCAATGCTATCTGCATACAATTGGGTTAAAAAAGCACAAGGGCATATTTGTAATTGAAGATCCTCACCTTTGGACAACTAGGGCTTTGGTAAATTAAGAACTTTAGTGCCTCCATTGTAAAAGACCAAATACTAGAAACTTAAGAGTGTTCATCTCAAGATGATGCACTTCAATAATTTTCTTATCAAGCATCACCTTTTAACACCTGTATAATTTGTATTTTCCAGCCCTAAATGCTCAAATAAGTGCACATTGTAACATCTATATTGCATTTCGAATTTTTAGACCTTTAGCAAGTTGTTCAATTAGTCATCTTTAAGGCTCTAACCTCTAAGGTTTACTTGGTTTGTAACTAGGGAAACAATTTTCTGAGAATAATTTTATATTTTCTGAATTCTTAAGAACTATTTTCAGAGTTACAAACCAAATAGCCAATGTTAATTTTTCTTCTTTAACCCCGGCCAATGTTAATTTTTCTTCTTTAACCCCGTGGCAAGTTTCTGTGCCCATCCTTTTAGGTGATTGAATCTAGAAAAAATGCTGGCTAGGCTATTAGTTATTCTTAGGCAATTCTATTTATTTATTTATTCATTTTATTATTATTTATTTTATTTTTTTGGAGAAAAGACTTCCTGCATAACCTATATCCACTCTATGAAAACTGACTTGGTTATACAAACAACATAGGAATACAAAAGTATCTAACTAGAAAATGAGCCAGAAGACGGCCCCAAGAGTTGGGGGACTGTACATGAAAAACTCAGCCCGAACACACAGCCAGCAAACTCCAGATCCAGACAATTCTTTTAGGTAATGGCATCCACTACAAGGTTGCAGCACCAATGATTTCAAAATTCAAACTACAATAACGTCCATAATCAGATGCTGCTGGAATTAGGGCATAAGCAGATCCTGCAACAAAAACGCTACAAAGTGAAACTCTTTTGCTTTCAGCACAACATTGATACTTTGTAGAAGTTTTCTTCCAGAGTTCAAGAAGATAACCTTCATCTTTAAACGGTTTACTTTGTTCGATCCAGCTTCCTGAGATGGATACTTACTATGCATTATGAAAACATTTTTCTAACATGCTAAAGTTTGATTGTTGGACAAAGGAAAAGTAGCCTTTGGTTAAAGCACACGAGTCTCCATCATGCCTCTCAGTTCCATACAAATTTTGCAGCTTCCAACAATCTACAAAGAGAAACAGAGACCCATCAAGCATCTAAATTGTTGTTCGCATTATAATGCTCCGTCAACCGGTTGACAGTTCCATCAACTAACACACGCTCAATCAGGTCATACTTCTTATAATTTGCTTTAAGGGGCTTTCCCTGCTTATCTGCCAGATTCTCTTCCTCTGCTAGTAGTTGCTATAAATGAAAAGGAGAAGAACAGCATTACATGACAGCCTCCCGTAAAATCAAATAAAAATAAAATATAAAATAAGAAAACACACAGAGTCATAGCAAAAAATGAAATGCAATAGATATTCAAGGAACAACAGAGTTAACCTAGTGCAGAAATGAAGCTTCAGCAGCATGTTTTCTAGTCAGATGCTTAAGTTTCTTTGCCCCCTCATAGTCAGGATCATTCGAGTCCAACCAACAACAATGTATGTTTCTACCAGGCTTTCTTGGGCGATCGTCTAGGAAGCACGGACACTCCAAAATGGGCGAAGAATCCGTGTCCGACGCGTGTCGGACACGGACACGCGTCGGACATGCCCCGACACGTGTCGGACACGCCAAAAAACGTGTCTGGAAATTTTTTTTTTTTTTTTTAATTTTCGGACACGGCTGGGACACGCCACGGACACGGCTCAGACAGCTCAGACACGGCTCGGACACGGCTCAGACAGCTCGGACACGGCTCAGACACGGCTCGGACACACTTTTCTGGAATTTTTTTTTTTTTTTTTAAATTTTTAATTCTGATATGTTAATTTTTTTTTTTTTTTTTTTTTTTTTTTTTTTTTTTAATGCTGATATGTTCTATTTTTTGTTTTGTACTACCCTAAAGATGTTGATATATATATATATACTAACCTAAAGATGCCACAATTCGCCGTGTCCGTGTCCTAAAGATGCTGATATATATATATACTAACATATCAGTGATATATATATATATTCCAACCTAAACATATCATTTTTTTTTTAAATTATTAATGCTGATATATATATATATATATACACTATTCGCCGTGTCCGTGTCCTAATTTTTTTGGATTTGCCGTGTCGCCGTGTCTGTGTCGTGTCGTATCCGTGTCCCGTATCCGTGTCCGTGCTTCTTAGGCGATCGTCAAACATCTCCACTTCAGCAGCACGTACCCCCACAGGCCTTGGCATCCCAGACACCATGAATGAGAAATTGGCCATCTCTAGGACAATTTCTCTGGCCTGCTTTGCATTTTCCAACTCTACCAGAGCACAACATGGCATATTCGGTGTTTTCATGTAGTTTGGGATGAACTGAACATTTGTCACGTTTCCAAACTGATTTAAAGCAGTTTTAATAACAGCTTCAGTGACCTGTGGTGAGAGGCTGTCAATATAAACAGTCCACTTCACCTTCTTTTCAAACGCAGCATATTCTGCTTCGGGTGAAGAATCCATTACAGAATGATAAATTCAAACTTTCCCTGTACAGCAAAAGGGAACAAGATTTTTTAGAATAACTAGCTTCAGGAGTCAACCAAAATTCCAATCCATATGATCATATATATCTATGTATATACTATATATACAAAGATGCTTTCCAATTAATGACTATGGATGCCCATCACTTGGATAACCAAACCATCACCCTCACATCTAGAAAATTTGTTTAATGCTATAAAGTCTGACTATTTTGCAACCATAGCCCTCCTTTTACAGCATGAGATTTTTAAATGAACGTGACCACAAATATCATTCACCTAACTTCTTGACAACCAAACCACTTACAGAACAGAGAACTCCATTGTTTGAATAAATCACAACAATTGATGACTATCTTGCCATCTTTATTGTAAACATCATGTCGAGCGTTCTTTTATTCCCCAAATAATTATTGGACGCCTCCTTTTCCTGGTTCATTACTTACCATAAACAACAAAGGGTTGGATGAAACACCGACAAGCAACTTTTTTGCACAACAGCAATTGAACCCTAAAAATGACTCAGATTTGATGTCTTTTAAAGCTCAGATTTGGTACTCACACACACATGCCTCCACTGAGGCTTGAACCCTTGACCCCCCTTTGGGAAGTAAGGGCCTGATACCGCTAGACCACCGACCCGTTGGTTAGGCTCAGATCATCTCATAGATTTGGTAGTAATCTAAAAGCATTTCTTTTCTCTTTCTTTCTTTTTTTATTTTTTTATCCCATCTCTCAAAAAGTACTCACCTAACAGACGACTCCAAGGCATGTCACCACAACTCCAACTACACTAGGTAATGGCATTTTAAATTTGCTACTGAGTTATACTGTTCCTTCCAAGACATTTCCGCAGCATTTTGGCTGCATCCACACTCCTCCACTCACTGCATACATGAGCCAAAGGAGACGGATGCACATCGTTATTTACCAAAAAAAAAAGAAAAAAAAATGAAAAGAAAAGAAAAGAGTAATGCATATTGTCTGAAAATAATAGAGTAATAGAATCATCAGTGCTAGCCAGTGTTGGTTCCGTTCACACAGGGTGCTGAGAAGAGTAGACTAGGGACATACATAACCTTGGGGACTGACTTGCACAAAGTGACCATTCTCAGGCTCCAAATGCATTTTCACGGTTAGCTTGAATTTTTAACAAAGCACCAAAAATGGACCCATTAATAAAATCATAAACACCACCTAGATCACAACAAGGAATCCATATGCATTTATTGAATTCCTGAATCTGGTCGGCCACAAAGGAAACAAACCAAACCAAACCAAACAAAAATAACCAACCAGATATATTTGCAAACAAATCATATAGACACTTGTTAGTTCTACTTAATTTAGCTACGATACTAATTATTTTAGAATTCCTTAAAATAATCCTCTCATGGATGAGAATCTAAACAATATCTCTTTACAAATCTATAAAAAAAAAAAAAAAAAAAAAAATTAAAATAGGTGGGACCCACCATTAACACACAAAAAGGCTAAGAGACCTATTTTTGGTCTCATTTCCTCCTCACCTTCTCTCATGTCGCTGAAAATAACACACTTAGGCTTCGTTTGGATACGGAGGAGAGAAAAGAAAAGAAAGGATTAGAAAAGAAAAGAAAAGAAAGGAAAAGAAAGGAAAGGATAACTATAATGTTTGGATAGATGGGAGAGAAAAGAAAGGAAAACATAATATTCTTGTTTGAATAAAATAGAGGAGAGAAAAGAAAGGAAAGGATAATAATGAAATTACTGTATTACCCTTTTGTAGATTTTGATAAATAATATATGTATGTATGTAAGATTTTTATACCACATTTTCTATCTCTTCATAAACAGCAGCCTCTTGATACAAGAAACCTATTCGCGTGTGGACATAAAAAATTAAAAAATTGAAAAAACCTGCATTGCAAAGCTCTGAAGAGCTTGGAAGGCAAGTCAATTAATGAGATACAAAGCTCGGATAAATAAATTGATTGCAGCAAGAAGGATGTAATAACCATACCAGCAATATTATATATATATAATAAATTGATTGTACACACATACTTTGCAATATTATATATATAATACTGAGCATGAACTTGAAATGAAATAAAGAGCAGCAGATCAAGTCCAAGAGGATCACAGAGCATCTAATATGAAATTTTGGGTCTTCGAAAGGAAAATAGATATAGATAAACAAAAGCAGATTAATTTGTTTGTAGGATTAAAAAAAAAAAAAAAAAAAATTACTAATTTCTTCCAAAATTTTCTCATTTTGTGGTGAAAAAAAAAAAAAAAAAAAAAAAAAAAATGAATGAAGAAGAAGAAGAAGTTAATACAATACCAAGCAAGAACATCAAAGCACGTTATGGCAAATCCTAGAAAACCCATCTCTGATTGCAATCTTATCTCTTTTCTTGGCCTTTCAATGGATTAATTCTTTAGTAGTAGTAACATGAAGAAGAGACTTAAACAGAAAACGCAAGCGAAGAGGAGCGGCGCAAGAGAAGAGGAGCAGCGCTTGCAGATGCGAGAGAAGAGGACTAGAGAAGCTGCTGCCCTATTGTATATAGAAATTGGAAGGTTAATTCTGTCTTTGTCATCCTTTCCCCTCAAATCCTCTCAAATCTTCTCAACTTTGAGAGGATTTGTTTTTATTGTGCTAAAGAGATTTGGAGGGATAGCCTATCCCTCCAAATCCTTCCCAATCATTTCTTTTCTTCTCAATTCCCTCCAACCAAACACACTTAATCCTATCCTTCCCTTTCTTTTCTCTCCAATTCCCTCAATCCAAACGAGGCCTTAGTGTTTTTAAGTGCCGTTTAAGGCAAATTGAAGCCCACGACGAGATCTTTAAGTTGATCAAAGCAATTTGGTGTTTAGTGCACTCTAGGAGAATTGGGATCTAGGGCACAAATTGGGGGTTTTGTAGAAAATTGAGGTAGGGGTCTCTAACCCACATTTTCTGGTTCCTTTGTGAGTTAATTTCATGTAATTGTTGTTAATTTGTCTAATTGATGATAATTGTCCTAGAATGATCTTGCAGTAATAGATAAAGTTCATGATTCTATATATACATGTTGATTTGTATGAAAAGCATGCTTAAATGTTGATTTCCTATGTCTATCATGTTGTGAATTGTGCTAAAAATGATGTATGTAACTATATGTGTTTTCTTTGAAAATTTTGGCAAAGAATGATTAATTATGTTACTTGAAAATATCATGTTTCCATGGTATTGAAGGCATGAGACATACATGCATGTCATGGGGCATGAAGGACGAGAAATGTTTTGAAAATAAAAAATAAAAAATAAAAAAAGGGGATTTTTGGGAAGAAATATTGATTAAATGGTTTTGAGAAAACCCGGTCGCCGCGGAGTCAACAAAGGGCCGGTGTGTTAATGTAACCTAGAGGGAACTAGGGAAAACACCCTAGCGTGGTTGAGCTATCAGGGCCCCAAATGACGCCGCAGGGGTACCAAGGGTCAGGCACAGTAACCAATCCTTCTCTCGTGTCGCTGCGGAGTCACCAACGGACGGGTTATATTGATAGTTTGAAAAGTGATGAATTTAGATTTTGAAAGTGGGGAGCGACATATATGGCATCGCATATCATGGCACGGCATTGTTTATTTGAAAATTGGAATTAATGTTATTATTTCCCGGCATAGCATGACCCCCATCCTTTATTCCTATTTATTGTTTGGATTCACGGGGTCACAAGAGGTGTGTCTTAGGCACCACCTACTGAGCAATTTTGTTCACCCCTTATTATTAATATTTTTCAGGACACGAAAATGAGGTGACGAATGACCATCCACCACAAGTTTAGATAGGATTGGAAATTTATATTTTGCTATTTTTGTTTTACAACTTTAATATTTTATAAATGTAAATTTTGACTATTCTGTAAAACTTTAGTATAATTTGTATAATGTTGTAAATTATGGACTTTTGATTTCAGCTGTATTTCATAGACTGTAAATTGATGTAATTAGATTTTGTTCCTTGTAAAGAAGTATGAGACTAAGTAGTGGACTAGTACTTCCACATTTTTTTATTGAAGGAATTGGAGGGAAGGGACTCTGATTATATGTATATAGTTATTTTGGGAATTGGTATATTGTTTGCATTGTGCGTTGCGACATGATAGATTAGTTTATGGCCAAGTGAGGCCATTACATTTTTTTTATCCATTTCAACAGGTTGTGGTAGGATCCTTCTTAGTAGAGGTCATGCCGAATTTTTTTTTGAATTGGTATCATTTTAAGGTCGTGACAAATTTGGTATCAGAGCTATGGTTCGAATACCAATAGGACGACGGGTAAAGGCCTACTTGGGATTGCATGGGGAAGTTGAATTGCATGATTATGTGCTATGTGTTAAAGTGTTTAAATGTTTGAAAAGCATGCCTACTTGTTTACTTGCTTACCTGTTCATTTGCTTACGTGATCACATGCTTATATGTTTTCAGTTTTGAGGGCATGCCTAATTGCTAAATGCTTACGTGTTTAAATGCTAAAATTTGTGTTACATAGCCATGTATGAGAAATAGTTAGATGATCTAACCATGTAAATGAAATGTGAAAGGAAAGAAAAGCATGTTGATTATGTATGAGGAGTATGGTAACGAGAAGTGGTAGGCACGGTGTGTGCAGTTCTAATTTAAATGCTAATGTGACAAGTAATGAGCCTGGTATATGCCAACGTGTTTCGTGTAGTATTATAGGTTTCATTCATTTTGTATACGTATATGGCTTTATTCTTATGTGGTTATACGGTTAACCATTGGGATGGTTGCTAAGTATGGTGGGGTACTTGTCACGGCATTGAGGGTTGTGTAAGTTTTGACTTGAGTAGGCGAGGAGCTCGGTTACTCCAGGGTTGTTTGGGTGCTGGTTCTTGTCGAACTAATGGCGTGGGCTCCTAGCTCGTGGATTGAGCTATTTGGCATATAGTCATCATGATCTTCTTAGTTGCATTTTGTGCGGTGCTTAGAGCACGACTTTAGAACGGGTC